TGTATCATCAAATGAGGTCTAAGTCTTTGACCTATATAAACCCACCTGTTCATTAGAAAACTCGGCAGGTAAAATATTTTGATAATCCTCCACCAGAAGTAAAAAAATTAATAATCTTCTATAAGAAAATGAAAAGGCACCGATTTCAATTCTTGTGTAAAAAGTCTGTCGTGCCACACAAGGCAAATAATTAATTCTTAAAATTCAAAATCAAAACAAAGTCAAGATAATTGCTTGAATAGTCTTGGTCTCTTGGACATACGTATGTATATATATATATATATAGCTGAGAAATTCTCAGCACAACTTATTAGTCCAATACTGCATAGTTTAGCGATTGAATCAGGATTTCAGCATGGGCAGTCTCCGGCCAAGGTCATTCTTCCCAGCACTGGCGGTAGTGCTGTTTCTCCTTCTAACTACTCTGGCGACCTTTACTTCAATTTCATATGGTATATATCTTCTTTTATTCCTTCTTCCTCTTCTTTTATTCCTTCTTCTCTTGAGTTGAATTGCCATTTCCTTGAAAGGTGACGAAGGAGCGACATGGTGGTCTTCTCGCTGTAAAGAAAATCTAAGAAAGTTGGTTCCAGCAGGCAACCATGGCAATGTTGCATGTAAAAGTCAGAATGTCTCCGGCATCAAATTCAAAGCCGACCGGTTTCAAATCCTAAGGGGGAGGTTGTCTCCGCCACCACCGCCCAAAAGAAATTCACCAGTGAATCCAAGAAAGAAGGCAACCCCTCCGCCACCACCGCCCAAATATTAATATATATTTGTACAAATAAATTTATATATGTATAATTTTAGAGTGGATTCATTGATCAACCTGAGCCCGGCCTGGGCCCAAGCCCAACCCGAGTGCATCAAATTACAAGGCAAGGCTGAGTTCGGGTTGGGAAAATCGGGCTTGACCTCAGGCTCGGACTAAGCTTGGGCCTTAAGCCCAAATTTTAGGGTCGGGCCTGGGTTGACCATAAACCTGGCCCAACCCGCCCAACTTGCACCCCTATGCGCAAGTTATGCAATTTCCCCCGGATGGAGATTGGAAATTCTCATCTGTGCAAGTTTTACGATGACATTAATTTTTAGGGGCTTTTATGATTCAGTCCACCCCTAGGTGGAGCTAGGATTTCTTAGGGGTGGATTGAATCCTACCCGTGGATTGATGCCAAATTCACAAGCAGGATGTGGTTTATAGGGGGGCTACTAGTAAACTAGGAGGGAGCTGCAAAAAACATTTCGGAGGGAATTACAGTCCAAAATTCCCTATTTTTCACAAGCTGGAAGTACAAAATTCTCAAATAGAGATAATAAATGGGTGGAAAAACTTTACTATACTGTTAAGAGAATTTATGGAAATGCCATGTCATCATAAGAATGGATAAATTAATAATTACATCTTAATTTATTTTGACTAAAACCCAAAGCAAAGGCGCGAATAGGTAAACTGCCCAGAATATGCTCAGCCCAAAAACTGTCTGAACAGCCTATGCTGTTAGGCCCCAACAGCCAAAGTGAACCCTAAATGTGTTGTCTGTTGAAAATCCCCAGTTCAGAGAATTGAGCCCATGTAATCCTGATTTCAATCTAGACGATAATAAGCGCACTTGATCCCAATTTCTACAGTATTTTTATATGAGATACATTGCGGCTTCTCACTTGGCAGAATCCCGCATCGGTTAAATATAAATCTGCGGAGGGTTTAATATTCAGAAGCTCACAACTTCTAAACGAGCAATGATAAGATTTGGCGTTTCAGTGGACACGGGTATCCGCTAACCTCTGACCTTGGATGAGAAGAAGCGCTCTTGAGCTCACAAATTGATTTCCAACAATTTTTATCACAAACAACAGATTTCCTTTTCGCCAAATGTGGGAATACGTTACAAGAAGCGTGTTGTCGATCACCATTTTTTTGTGCATTCCAAAATGACTTGCTTGCATCGGATTATCCTTTTGGAAGTGACGGTCAGTAATCGTCATCTTGGAGTCACCTTCAATCCATTGAAACTACTGCTAATTGCAATCTTGTTTGCTTCTAATGCTGCCCAACATTTCGTTGTGCTGCTGAATGAGATACCAATACACCCTGCCTTTGCAATTAGCACAACCCCTGCGATCTCTTGCCAAAGGAACATAAACCATTCACTTTTAAGGATGCATCAAAGTTTATTTTAATAGTTCTTTCTTTAGGTATCATTTGACCCATTTTTTTTTTATTACTAATAAGTGTGCATGTGTTTTGTATATGGCAATTTATCTAGATGGTGATAATGATAATAATAATGTATCCATAAATTTTTATAAATATATATTTTTTATTTTGTTTTTTTATTATTAGTCAGTTGCAAATTGCAAAATCAAAATCTAATTACATAAACATTTCATCCAAATATGTAATAATTAAATCGAGTTGTGAAGTTTTAAGTATCATTGATAGGCCTACCTGTTTTGCTAGATTCTTCTTTTTGTAATGTTTTATCTTTTTGGTGTATCTTTTTTTTTTGTTCATTTATCAAAAAAAAATATAAGATTGAAATAGAAGGGAATGATGTGAATAGTAATAGTTCAATTTACAATTTTAACATCACAATTAAATAGAGACTAAATCAAAAAATGAGTATTTTAGTTAAAAGAAAGTTCTACAATCTTATTCATATTTTTAATAGTAGTGTAAATATAGAATTATAGATGTGTTCAATTTTTTCTATATATATATTGCATTTTTGTGTGTAGAAATAATTTTGACATGTCAAACTTAATTTTTGTTTAACATAATAATTATATGATATTATACATATGCTTGAATGTTTTTTCTTTTTGCAAAGTTTATGTATTTTTTTCATTTTTTGTATTTTTATATTTTATTAATTTTTATTATTTATTTGTGACATTAAATGTTAACAAATTTTACTCAAAAATTGAATTATTGATTTTTTCAAATAGTAAAATAATTTCATTTTTTGGTCAATTCTAAATTATGTATTTCATTTTCATTATAATATTTGTTTATTATACTTATTGTTTTAATTTTGTTAATAAAAATATCATAAATGTGTCTGGCTTTTTCTACATTTTTATAACTTTCAATATTATTCCTATTTTAAAAATTTTATTATCTGACTATGATTTCATAAGTTAGATCAATTTGATTCAGATGGTTGAATTTCATAGCCACCACTTGGATTAAGAATGGTTTTGTTTTTGAGTTAGTTTTAAAATATATGGGTTTATGTTGTTAAAAATATTGGCACAGATCTAATTAGTAGCATATATTAGTAGAAAATAACTTAAATATAGGATTTAATAAGAGAAAATTGGAGTTAATAATTTAAGTATAAGACTTAATGAGAGGGGATTAAATGAGGTGGGAAGTAATAATTGAAACTACATTTTCAACCCTTACCATTAAAAATGGAATAAATACACAATTATGGGCATTTTAGTAGCCATAAAAGCTGTCGTTAAAGTTGTAATGAAATTACTTTTATACCCTTTCTTAAATAAAGAAATAGAGGGTAATTTTAGTTCAAAAAAAAGTTTCACACTGCATTCCCACTTTTATATATAGTATAGATTATTAGAAGTTGTTATTTGGATTTTGTGCTTCGCATTTAGGGATGGCAATTTTCCTCATTTTCCTAATCCCTACAAAAATATGCCCTAAATGGAGTGAGGATATATATATAAGTTCAAATCATAGATATTTAGGTTTTTTATAAACAAGTTTAAGGACTTGAGGCCCAAAACTTGATATTTATATTGAGTATTTGTGATTTTATTATGAATTAGTTAATGAATTTGTATTAATATTTTTAAAATATGGTCAAATATATTTGGTTATATTTAAATATATATATATATATATATATATATATTTGCATATATTTCAATAGGATTGTAAATTATAACTATTTTATTTTAATTCTTTGAAATTAATGCAATAGAAATAAAAAAATAAAGTGAATTTGACATCACAATAGAGATAGAAAATCCCTAGCTTCTCAGAAAATGCCATGTGTCTAGCTTTCTAAAAAATTGAGAAGGCCACATGTTTGAATGGTAGGGGGCTGTAGCCTAGTAGTGGATTGTGGGCTTTAGCAGGAATTTCTCAGAAATTGCCATGTGTCTAGCTTTCCAAAAAAATGAGAAGGCCACTTATCTAAATGGTGGTAGTGGGTTGTGGGCTTTCCAGAAAAATAAAAAGGCCACGTGTCTAAATGGTGTGGGTTGTAACTTAAAAGCTTTCCTTTAATATATATACTAGTGAGTGACCCCGTACTAAGTACGGGGAATCAATAATGTTAAATCTACATTATGGAATCAATACTGTTAAATTTATATTTATTAATATCTTAAATAATTATTGATATTTTAAGAAATATTTATTTCAAAAAATAGCTTTCCAATAATTATTAGAATGTGGATAATTTTCTTTTGTTATGATAGGTAGAGGGTTAATGGTTAAGTGAGATTGATAGAACCTAGGCAGAAGTGGTTGTGGATAACCATTTTTGCATTTTCTGCATTTATTTAGGAATGGATTGAAAATGGTGGTAGTGTGTTGTGAGTTTTAGCAGCAACTTCTCAGAAAATGCCACTTGTCTAGTTTTCTAGAAAAAATAAAAGGCTATGTGTATAAATAGTGGGGAGTTGTAGCCTAGTTGTGCATTGTGGATTTTAGCAGAAATTACCACCTATCTTTCTAAAAAATGAGAAGGCCACTTGTCTAAATGGTGATAAAGGGCTATGAGATTTAACAACAGCTTATGAAAAAATGTCATGTGTCTAAATTTATATATATATTAGATGTCTCTCAAAGTCTGCCATGCCAACCAAGACTACATATTTTAACATTAATTCTTAAAATTTCAAAGTCAAAGTCAACATGATTGCTTAATTGGTTTGGTTTCTCGGCCTAGGGCATATTATATATAAGTTCTCACCACAATATATTAGTCCAATATTGTAGAATTTTTTAAGGAATGCATCAGGTTTCAGCATGGGCAGTCTCCGGCCAAGGTCCTTATTCACCGTACTAGCAGCAATACTGACTCTCCTCCTTCTAAGCAACTCTTTGGCGACCTTCACTTCAATTCCATATGGTATTCTTCTAAATTCTTCTCCATTTATATGTATAGATGGCTCATGGCGTTGATTGACCATTAATTGATACATAAATAAATGCTATTAAGCTTCTAAACATTTAAATTCTCAGTTAACAAATCACTCAATCATATTTATATCAATTAACTTTTTCTTGAGTTTGGTTAATTTGCTATTTCCTTGAAAGGTGATGAAGGGGTGACATGGTGGTCTTCTCGCTGTGTAGATAGTCCCAGAAAGTTATTGCCGGTTCCAGGCAACAAAGGTGAAGTTGCATGTAAAAGTCATGATAATGTCTCCGGCATCAAAGAAGACCGGTTCCAAATCCTAAGGCAGAGCTTGTCTCCGCCACCACCGCCCAGACCACGTCCACCAGTGCATCAAGAAAACCCACGAAATCGTGGAAGGAAGGAAACTACTCCGCCTCCACCCCCCAAGACATCCTAAGATTTGTAGATTTCGCAAGTGTACGTATTGATTCTACGTACGATCTGGCCTCTCCAATATTGGATGATATGTCATTTGCTTTTACTATTTACTCCATATTTTGGCATCATTTGAACGCAACAGATCGCTATCTGCTTCTCAGTTATCACCCCAGAACTCCGCCTCGATCACAATTGAAAGTCCAAGAAAATAATGCTGGGCGCTCACGAATTCAAGCTTCAAAGGCATTATTTTAATACAAGCGTCGAACGCATCACTTGTTATTGTGATCAAATCGATCGGTCAAAACCTTACAGTTACAGCTGCTTGAATATTAATGAATAGACTCCGAGAAGAACCAGCTGAAGCTGGGTTTATATGGAGACCGGCCGGCCAACAACCGGTCACAACAACTTCGAGGGGATCAACTTTGGAGTATCTTTTTAATCAAGAAAATGACTTTCCAATGAAACTTCCTTACTATACAAACCTTGTATAGTAATTAGTAACCATCAGTGTCCACTCGGGGCCCACGCCCAGCCAAGGGGTGCAATGAAGTCCTAGGTTAGGCCTACAACTGGGATCTACTACAGTAGTTGGCTGGGCCCAGATGGACATAAGATTAATTCCAGGTGCAGCCCTCCCGATCTGTTGGGCCATTGGCCCATTGCCACACCCGGATCATCCAGTTCCTTTAATGTCGTGTTTGGTTCGAATAGGTTTCTCTATCATTCCCTTCCTTTACTTATTTTTTCCATTCAAATCAAATATGACCTTACTGTCATAGTGTCATTGATGGAATATAGAAAAGAGAAGAAAAATACAAAGAGAACATATAATGAAAATACTCTGCAGCCTCCTCCACCTACCCAAACCAAAGGGACAAGGTTGGCATTTCCATTTATTCATCCTTTCTTTGACTTTTTTCACAGGATTGAACTCTCTATATGGTCGTAGTGGTTACATATAAGACACGATAAAGGGGTATTAATGATTTAATTGAAAATTTATATACGAGATAAATACATATTCCTAATTTTCTGGTGTTGCCTTTCCCTTTGGGAAAATGTTTGTTTTCCATATCCATCTTAAGGTTAATCAAGGACTGTAAAATAATAGTGATTTTTAGGAAACGATTTTTACTTCATTTTGCTAGCAACTGTGAAACCTAAGACTGTGTTTGGTTTTACCTTTTCCTTCAAACCAAACACAAAGAAAAATATATTCAGACTTGAAATAAAGCCGCTAATTAACATCATAAAATAACATGAGCTTTCTCCATATGTTGACAACACACAAATTGTTCAAGTTGTTTATGCATTTGGGACATTTCGCCTCCTTCAATCATGAGTTTTCTCCTAAATTTAGTAGATGTATACATGCAATGCACATAACAAATTCAAATAGCAATAATAATTTTAGTATTTTTATTAGAACCCATGAAACAACGAATATATAATTTAATAATCATATAATGTAATGGTGGATTTAATTAAATTTTGAATTTTATTTCCACTATTCATATTATCATATTTACTTTTATTTTATATGATAAATATATAATATTAGAGGTATGCACAATTTTTCTATAATTTTTTATTTTTGTATTTTTATCTATTTCTTGAGTTTTTATTATATAATAATAACTTCATGTGTTGACCCATTTGACCTAGGTGGTTGAACTACTTACCAGTGGATGGAATAATGGTTTCATTTTTACTTCAATTTTAAACAAAGAGGGTTTTGTATTGTTAAAATTTTAGGGTATAGAAGTAAAATTATTGGTGAAAAACTATCTCAAATATAGGATTTAATGAAAGAGGATGAGAATTAACACCTTGCATATATGACTTAATGAGATGAAATTGAATGAAGTGAAAATTAATAGTTCAAATTATATTTTCTGCCCTTATAATTAAAGAGTGACCGAATTCAAAAGTATTGGCATTTTAATTAAGAGTAGTCCAAAAAATAACTCATTTATTTAATATACCTTAAATATAGGATTTTTCTGAGAGGGAATGGGGGTTAATGCCTCAAATATGGGAGTTATGTGAAAGAATAGAATGAACTTAAAAGAAGTAAAAAGAAAATATATTTTTCTTCACAAAGAGGAGGGACCAAATTTAGAAATAAAAGGTATATTCGTCAAGAAGAAAAACTCCAGAGTTTAGACATCATTCCCACTTTTAATAGTACTAGTATGTGTTTATGTGCTTTGAATGTAGAATTTTTTTGTGATGATGAAGATAGTAAATAATATGTTTCCAAAATTGTCTACATTTTTTATATTCTTTACACTTTTGTGTGTTTTCATCTATTATTATTATTATGCCATCAAGAGTTTATACATTTTGACCCAAAAAGTTGAATTGTTGACTCTCTATCAAATTGGAAACAACTCCACTTTTATGTTGGTTTTAAATTTGTATTCAATTTCTATCATCAATAAAAATGATTATTCTTTATCACACTTATTTTTCTCTAATATGGTCAATTAATATAGGATTCAATGAAAGAATGAGAGTTAATACCCTAAATATGAGACTTAATAAAAGGGAATTGAATGAGAAGAAATGTAGTAATTCAAATTACATTTTATGCCCTCATAAATATAGAGGGATCAAATTCAAAAATATGGGTATTCTAGTCATGACAATGACTCAATGAATGTTAAGGGGGTTAATACCTTAAATATAAATCTTAATGAAAGTGATTTGAATGAGGAGAAAAGTGGTTATTCAAATTACAATTTTTGTCCTTACAATTAGAGAGCAACAAAATTCAAAAATTGGGATATTTTAGTTAAACAAAAGTTCCATACTCTCGTTCACACTTTTAATAGTATTATAAATTACTGATATAGATATACATGTAAATGACCTTTTTTAACCAAAAAAAAAAAACTTTTTTACACCCTTTTTATAAAACATGTAACTTTAGTCATGTTCAGTTTGAAAATAACATTACCTCCCCTAAATTTTCTATTTAATTCACCAGCCATTTCTCGCATCAAACCAATATTATTACATATACTTCTTTCTTTAATGAAAGCTTCTTGTTCATGAAAGACAATTTTAGGAAGCAACCCTATAAGCCTGTCAGCTAACAATTTTGCAAAATTCTTATAACAAAAATTGCAAAGGCTTATTGAATTGGTCTATATCCAGCCCATTGGCAAGCTTAACTGAAATAGTTCCAACCAAGGGGCTCTTTGATAACAGCTTAAGTGGCTGAACTGAATGGTTTATTGTTGTATCTTTCAATGGATATATCATTAAGGAGGTTGTAAGCTCCTAATGGCTCAAGCCGAAGATGGGTTGATTTCCTATACACTTGAATCTTTTATTATTTTAATTGTTTTGTCCATTAAAAAATATAGAAAAACAACAAGTCATTGGGTTCAAGCACTTCAACTATTATCAAACAGCCCCTAATTTTTTTTCTGCTGCTTCTACAGTAAAATTAATGGAACTTTATGCTTGTATTATTTTCTGCTAGCATTTAGCTTTAACTTGTATCAGTCTTAAGAATCGAAGAAATACTAAGTTATGGTATTTTGTACTACCCAAAATACATGATATAAAATGCATAAATCAGGCATATGACAATACATTAGAAAATGTCAGAAATCAGAATGGGCTTAGGCTACGAAAGGCCTCGATGATCAATGCCCAATCTGAGCTTCAAGCTAAATTTGAGAGTGCTTAAAAATAAGTGATTATTCAAATAAACACTTATTTTGGGCTGGAATCATATTAATAAGCACTTATTTTAGTTTGGAAAATAAGTTTATGTGTTTATTCCTGAGAATAAGCACTTACTTGAGAAGCTTACTTTTTTAACTTATTTAAGTGCTTATTTCCTTTTTGGCTTGTCTTGGCCGAGTTTGGACCACTTGCCAACAAAAGACATTCCAACACTCTCCTAACATGATCTGACACTGAACATCTCAACATGAGATTGGGACCCACTATATATGAGATGTGTGGTGTGAGCCATGTTGGGAGGGTGTTGGTACATCTTTTGTTGGTAGCTGATCCCAACTCATCTTGGTCTACCACATCATTTTAAAAAGGCCTATATGACCCCTATTTGAAATAAGTGATTTTTCACCAAATACTCATGAATGCAAATACTTATTGAATAAACACTTATTTTTCAATTAAGCACTCCCAAACTTCACCTCAGTCAGCCTCCACTTTGCAGCTCTACCCAAAAATCTAAGGCAACCAATGCAGCTTATGTTAGGTTGGGCCCTAGGATAAAATGAGAAATACCTTGTTTGGGTGCCAACATAATAATTGTATTGATTGCACTCTCCATTTCTCCCTAGTGCTTTGGAAAATGATAAGGTGGGATGCTAAGTGCATGTTTGATTTCACTTCAAATAAGTACTTTTTTTTATAAAGTACTTAATAAAAGTGTTGGGACCACACATTAAGTGGAAAATAAGCACTTGTCGTTGTTTGGTAAAAAAGTACTTATTTGATAAAGAAGTATTAAAAAAACCACTTGAGAGTTTTTTTTAAGTACTTGTTAATAAGAGGACCTGCGAAAATTTTAGGACTAAAAAGTCCCTATTTATATTTTTAAATACCCAGAATACCCCCATTTCTCCTTAAACCCCCTTCTTTCTCACTCGAACAGGATCGAGCATACCATTGGCAACACCTTCCTTGGGAGCGACCGGCAACTGGTGATTGACGGCCAACACCTTCCTTTGGACTTGTATATATGTATGAGTGAAGTGAGAGCAAAAATTGTCATTTGTGTCAATATAAGCACTTATAGAGAAAGTATATTACCAAGCATCACACGCCAATAAGTGCTTAAAAACATAATAAGTGATTTGGCAAGTGGGTCATCAAATAGACTTAAGTGGTTATTAAAATAAGTACTTCTTTTAACAACCACTTAATCATCAAACAGGGCCTAAAATCACTTGCGAGTAAATATAATAAATTAAAATTGCAAGGTTGCCACATGTCCCATACTTAGAATAATTGCGATTTCGACTTCAGTCAGGGAAAATTACAAAAAAAAATTTGAATACCTTTTAGTTGTTAGAATTATTCTTTTACGAGCGAACAAATTGCAAAAATATTTCTAATCCAGTTTTTT